ATCTTCTAAGTTAATAACATTTACAATTTAATTGAAACTTGCACAGAACCCATTGCATTATCTTTTTTTTATTTTTCCATGTTTTTTTTTTTTTTCCTTTTATTTTCTAACTTTCTACCATTCTCTCTCTCGCTCTCTCGTTCTCGCTCTCTTTCTCTCTCTCTCTCTCGCTCTCGCTCTCGCTTATCTCATCTCTGAACGCGTATTATCTCACTCGATCGCAAGGCCACGTCGATGACCCAATCGTCGTTTAATAATAATAATAATAAAATTACGATTGATCCTCGTCATATTTATTTTTTTCTTTTTTAAATATTGCATACGCGTTGAACACATTTTTTGAGCGGATGGAAAGAACAAAATAAAAAAAACGAGTTCCCCCAATATTTTTCTTCCCTTCTCTTGATTTTTTTCTAAACAATGACAGCAATTCGTTCGGGCGCATTCGCGAAGATTACAATTTCCTTTTTTTTTTTTTTTCTATTTATTTCTTTCGCAACGTGCGCGTTAGAGAAGGAAAAAAAACGCTACGAGCCGGGGGCGCTGAGAGGGGCGGGGACGGGGTTCGCAGGGAATCGAATTTTCCTCGTTAATCAAAACTGCCCGGACATAGTAATTTTGTTCAAAGGCAGTTTTTTTTTTTTTTTATTATAACTGGACTTACTTTGTTTCGTTCGTTCGTTTGTTTTTCCTTTCTTTTCTACTAAATAACATTTCACTCACCCTTTTCTAACAAACTTTTTTCCATCCCTTTCCCTTCGTTTTTCTTTCGTTTCATCTTCCATTGTTTCTTTTCTCGTCCGAACTTTGTCGTCGTTGCGTTATTTGCTAATATATTTTTATTAATCCTTTATTATTATATTTTCCTTTTCCCCGAACGAATTCGATTATCGAATCGCGATAGGTCGATTATCGATAGCGTGATTCGTGAACTTGCAAGTGACGCGAATTTTTGTAAATTGTTTAAAAATATTAGTCAACAACAAACAAACGAACACAACCAACCAAACGATGTGCCTAGTAACGTTGACAATTTTCATAGAAACACACTATCAATAAGTTGTTTATATTTAGATAGGATAGGAAATCATTTTTATCAACGCAAACGACAACTCTCTGACATTTAGGGTCAACGAGGCTCATTTATACGTCATCAAAACATATTCTAATTAAATGTATTATTCCTAATTAATTTATTTTTTCTATTCCCCCTATCGTTATCAACGTTACCAGTCTTACGTTAGTTATATATATATATGCATACGATTTAAATGTATGCATTGATTTTATTCTAATCGATTTCGCGTCAAGTTCGTTAAACACGCGACACTCGCAACAATTCTCAAATCGTTCAAAAGGGAAATTCCCGTTTGGAAAATTCATTCGCATTATTTAATTGTTCTTTTTAATTTAAAAAGAAATAAAAAAAAAAAAAAAAAGAAATAACGAACAAATTTCCTCTACTTCCTTCTCTCCTTTCTTTCTTTCCTCCCTTTCCGTCAGATTATTTCGAATTTGACTTAACCCATTTCTACTTTTTGTTTTTCGTTTTGTTTAAAACCCCATCTTTTTACTTGACATTAAAATTACAATAATTGGTGACTTTTCAAGAGAATATATACCTTGGGTGATTCGTTCCGTACCGGGTTGTGGGGGTAGGCGGGGGGGGGGAGGTTTGGAGTAGCATATCGGGGAGACTCGGGGGGTTCGACGAGACTCGTGTCGATCTATTAATTGTCTATCTAATTTTTTACTTTTTTCTTTTTATTATCAGTTTTTGTTTGTTTTTTTCTTCTTTTTTTTCCTCCCACCATCATATTCGTTCGTATTCATTTCAACGTAGTTTTTCTTTATTAGTGTGTATTATTAATTGGAAAAAAAACAAAAATATTATTATATCGTGTGTCGAAGAAAATGATCACGGGGGGTAGGAACTTTAAAGTACAACGGAGACCCTAACGACATAATATCTTCTTATTCTTTTGCTTATCTTTTTTTTTCTTTTTTTCTTTTTTTAAATTGTTTCTTCTCGTTAAATATTAATTTAACAATATTATCTAACGAATAATTAATTAATCGAATTAATTTAGTTAATTCTCGTGTCAACCTGTTGTATCTATGAAAATAGATCGACGGAAGATCGAAGGTTTAAACAATTTTATCTATCAATTAATATAAATCGTGTTTCTTGTGTTTTTTTTTTTTTTTTTAATTAATTAATTAATTAATTTATTCATTTATTTATATTAAATCGTTTTAAATTTATCTCGTCGACTCTCTCCGCGAGACTACTCGAAGGCAACGGGGCCTGCTGGTACGGATCTCGTCCTATTTTGTTGATAAGAAAAAAAACCAAAAAAATTAAGTAAAATAAAATAAAATAAAATAATAATAATAAAAAAAAGAAAAGAAAAAATTGTGGCCTTAAGTAGTCGAATAATAATAATAATAAAATTAGTGTGTTTATAATCAGACGTATGTGTACGCAGGGCCGTACGAAACGAGGAGACGTTGCACCGTCGTCAAGTTCGATGAATTCTTTTTTTCTTTTCTTTTGCTTTTTTTTTTTTTATTTCTTCCTCTTCCTATTCCTCGTCCTCTTCCTCTTCTTCCTCTTCTTCTTCTTCTTCTTTGAATTATAAAGATTTAAAATCCCGATGGCCACACGCGTCTCACGAACGCGGTGGTCTTTTGTCAATTTTCTCCTAATCTATATTATTATTATTATTATTATTATTATTATTAATATTATTATTATTATTATTATTATTATTATTATTATTATTAATATTATTATATCGATCGAACGATCAATCGTGGGCTTTTTCAAAGCTATTGGAAAAAGGAAAGATGAGCTTTATCGATACGATTCACTAAAACGTGAACGCGTTTTGCTTTAGCTTACCTTTCCCTCGCTTTGATTTTATAAAACAAAAATTAATTAATTATAATAATAAAGCGCGCATATTTCTTCATTTGCACAAGAGACAATCCGCGACGACTAAACCTACGAGAATGTATTTATTCCATATATACGTGTATATTATAATGATATAAAAAGGAAAGAAAATTGGACGAATGAACACGATCATCGCTAAGAAAATAATAACGTGGCCATATCCATCATCCCCCCTTTTCCTTCTTCTTTTTTTCTTTGCGTATTATACAAAAATAAAACGAAACGAAGGAAAGAATAATAAAAAAAGAATAAAACAAAAATACGTACAACGAAAAAAAAGGATATAGGCGCGTGTACCGCGAGGAAAGAATTCAAAAATAAAATAAAAAAAAAAAAAAGAAAAAACTAAAAAAACATTGCTTTTTTTCGTACGACCCCCCCCCGTTAACCCCACCCCCCTCCCAGCCGCTGGCACACCTATTTAGAACGTGCCAGCAGCCGGTACATAATTTTTAAATGGTATGCGTGTGTTGTTATTCTTGTTGTTCGTAGTTAAACGTTATATTGGATGTTTACTTTTAATCGGTATTGTTGTTTATAGCATATAATTTTTAGTCGTAATAATTATATTGTGATATTGAGCTACCTAATCTAATATTTACAAAAGTTTCATATCATTTCATTTCATCTCATCTCATTTCATTTCATTTCATTTCGTTTCGTTTCGTTAATTTTCGCTCTTGGCACTACTACTTTTAATCATCATCCACATTTATCCTTTTCGCTATTCGTTTTTTATTTATTTTAATTTTTTTTTTCTTTTATATTATTATTATTATTATTCCTTATAGCCCTGTTTCTTCTTTTATTTTCTTCTTCTTCTTTTTTTTTTTTGTTTCCTTACTTCCCAATTGGTCTCTTCCTTTTCACCCCGATATCACGCACGCATTTATACCAATTAATTTTCTCTCCCTCCCTCTCCCTCACCCTCTCTATCTCTCTCTCTCCCTCTCTCTCTCTCTCTCCCTCTCATTCTTATTCTCATATCGTCACTCTCGCAAACTCATTCCACTCCACATTCATTTACTCATTCACTCACACTCATATATCATCGTCTGCCATGTATCTAACTCTCACAGGTATATGAGAGATGACAACACAGCAGGACGCGAATATCGCCTGAATAAATAATTAACTAAGTCTTTTCTCGTCGAAGAAAAAAAAAAACAATCCTTCAGCGACACTTTTGCGAATCGTCCGTTCGATCATTTAAATCGACGTGTCGAAGGGCCGGGGGGGGGGCGGGCGGGCGTTAGGGGCCGAGGCTTCGCGGAGGAAGAGGAGGCGAGCGATTTTTTCTTCTTCTTCTTCCCCTCCTTTTTTTTTTTTAATTTATATTATATTTACCCCATCGTCCATCCGATTTTATATTTCTATCTAATTCTTCGATCCTCTCTCTCTCTCTTGGAACGATATTTAAACGTGGAAATCAAAAAAAGAGAAGCATCATCTCGTCTTCCAGCTAATACGATTTTCTTTTCACTTATTCTCTCTCTCTCTTCGCAAGATCTAATCTCTCCCTCATTTATCATCACGCTTTGGAATATTCTGAGATCTACAGGATTGTATTAATATAGTTTAGAAAAGAGAAAGAAATAAAGATATAGGTGGGAGAGGGATAAAAAGTATAATTCCTTTTTGATATCTTGTTATCCCTCTCTCTCTCTCTCTCTCTCTCTCTCTCTCTCTCTCTCTCTCACTCCCCTGTCTCTCTCTCTCACTCCCCTGTCTCTCTCTTTAAACTTTATTATTTGTTTTGTTTAGGCGCCGTTCTCGTTTGGTCCTCGAACCAAAAGCAAAGGAGAGAAAAGTCACGTGTCGCCGTTTTGCTATTGGTCGTAGTTCAGTCTTAAAGTGGCGTACCGCGAAGAAAGAGTAATAGAAAATCGTGTCATCGTTGTTATTGTTGTCGTCTTCTTCGTCGTTGTTGTTGTAGTTATGGCTACTGCTGCTGCTGCTGCTGCTGCAGTTGCTGTTGTCGTCGATGATGGTCGATGACGTTGTTGCTGGAAGGAACTGAAGTAAAGAAGAAGAAGAAGTCTTCTTCTTCGTCTTGGTCTTTTTTAGTTTTTTCTTCTTCTTCTTTTTTTTTTTCTTCAAAGAAAGGAACGCTCGCCTCTTCCTTCGCCACAAGGATCCACTACAATCACCACAACCAGAACCACCACCACCACCATCACCGCCACCATCATTACCACCATAACCACCACTACTACTGGCCTCGGATCAAACGCGTTTTTGCCTATGTTGACTCTCGTCCGTTTCACAGGGCACCACCGTCAATGTGGACAGATTACTGAGGTTGCTACTGGATTCGGAATAACTCGACAGGGTGGACTTTTTCGGTGGGGTTTGTGGGGTAGATTGTTGAGACAATGACACCGTCGTAGACGTAGACGTAGACGTAGACGTTGATGACGTTGATGACGTTGACGTTGATGACGTTGACGTTGACGACGTTGACGTTGAAGATGACGATGACGATGACGATGAAGTTGATGAAGTTGATGAAGTTGATGACGTTGATGACGTTGACGAGGACGACGACGACGAAGATGACGATGTTGTTGTTGTTGTATTATTACTACCAGAACTTGGAAACTTTCGAAACATTTTCAGCAATGAGCTACCCGCGCTATGCGAGCGTACCCTCTGTTCGGGTGGCTCCAATGGTCCTGATTGACTACGATAAGGGGGTGGACTCTCGCTATCGAAGATAGTCCGGTTTGGTGGCGGCCGTATGCACTTTTGGTAGATCTCGCTTTCCTAAAAAAAAATTTTCATATTATTTTGTTAATATATTTGTCGCTTTTTTATCTTTTTTTTTTAAATATAGAATTAACAGTTAGGTCAATAATAGATCTATTGTATATACGATTTGTGTGCATTTACAATGCAGAAGAATATGATTTGAGGAGAATGATGAATGACAAGAGACGATCTTTCAAGTATTTTTGTTCGAATCAATACTCTCTCTCTCTCTCTCTTCCGTTCTTCCTCTAACTCCCCTCCCCTCAACTTGGAGTTTACATTTAACGGTATTAATATATTATTCGTAGTAAAATGTTAGAAGGATGGTGTGTGCGCGTACCACCACTCCGGGGAGCGGGTTTATTCAAAACGGTATTCTCTACCCGCGCACCGTATAAAGTGTTTTCAACTTCCGCACCACTCGATCCTTTTTCCGCACAGCAAGCAGAGAACCATAGGCTGGTGATGGTAGTAGTAGTAGTGTATGCATATAGATATAGTAGTAGAAGTGCGTTCCATAACGAGTCGCGAGATGCTTTAAAGCTAAATAACGTATTTTCTAGCGGATCGTAACACAAATGCTCGTTCCCTTTTCTATTCCATCTCTTTTTCTCTTTTACCGCGTTCCTCCGCAACTACACCCGGGCAGAGATATCATCGTGAGTGGCTTTTACAGTTTTCCGATAAAGATCGTCCGACCGTAACGAGAAATTGATCTCGTAAGGGTCACACGCAACACACATACGTGTATCTAATTTTTTGCCTTGTGATAAATATGAAATTAATGATTAGAAAAAAAAAATATTAATAAATAAAAAATAAAAAAAAAAAGAAAAAGAAAATAAATAAAAGAAATAAAAACAAATCTGTTGCATATTACTCGTTTGTGCGTCATTGATCCCAACGTTATCGAATTGTTTTGACTACGCGACTAAAGAACAACTGACGTGGGAACGAACGAACGAATGAACGAACGAGAGGGAGAGAGAGAGAGAGAGAGAGAAACTGGACGTGATAGGTGGTAGAAAGAAAAAACTAGGAAAATGTGTACGAGAAAGAAGATGATCGAAATAATGTTCGAACAAACGACGATGAAAAATTGATCTCACCTGCAAGGGGTCACGAAGATGTATGTTGGTTTGGGCCCCGTAAGGGCGTTCCTCGCCATCTGGAAGTTCCAATCGTGGAGGTAAATTAAGGGCGAGATCTTGCCTGACGCTACCGGTCCTAATCGCCCTGTCCCTAGCTGCAGCTACCATTGCTTCTTGCTGAAGGACGTAACTATGTCCGCGAACTGTTGCAGTTGCTATTCGAACACCACGGGCCAATGTTGTTCCGTTCGTTGTCTCGCCACTTCCCCCGTCTCTGCGCCCACCCCCGCGTCCACCAACTTCACCTTCTCTTCCGCCTCTACGAACGTCCAATGCCGAACCCATCGATAGCATCTAAAGAGAAAAAACACACAAAATAAAATGCATAAATTTGAAGAGAGAGAGAGAGAGAGAATGAATGTTCGAAAAGAAAACTTTTTCCTCTTAGCTAAGAAAATAAATTACGATTATTATATATCATTTTCCCCGTTCTCCTATACTTCTTTCCCCAACTTCACGTTAAATAATCTTAAGCTCTTTCTTCCCCTCCCGTCCTCCTTCTCCTCCTCCTCCTCCTCATCCTCCCCTCAGACTCTTTCTATCGCTCGTAAAAGCGTCTAAGCTCGGTCTAGCCAGCCAGCCAGCCAGCCAATCGTTTGTTCAGTTGAACGAAGCCAATTTGTTGAGGTCGTTCTTTGAATTATTACTGCGACTAAGTATTAGATCAAACACGTTGGTTCTTCTTTCTTTGGGTTTTAAGAAAACGATCAATCCTTAAAAGTCGGACAACATCGTCGAGACGAGTTAGTTAATTAATTATTAATGTCATTCGATTGTGAATTACATATCGATAGAAATAAGTGGGACACGATTTAATTTGTTTTATCGAAGTAAAGTAATCGAGATACGATGGGAGGGACGAATTGAACAGTTATAATTAATAATAATCCTTAATATCGTTTTAAGACGGTCAAGCTTGTTGCTTCTACTTCTTCGTATAATAATAACGAGGATGCACACACAGAACTCGCGTCACGGCTCAAAATCTCTTTGACGTAAGCCGGAAGTTTCTATGAATATGTTAAAAGCTGCGCCAAGATATAAACTTCGAACGCGGACCCTGCAACAGCAATCCTCCTGGCCTTTGGCTTTCGTTGCTTCCTCTCTATCTCTATCTTTTTCTCGCATCAGTGGAAATTCTAAATTAATGATATCCAAAATTTCCAAATCTTTTATACATCCGTTGGTAAATCATATTTTCATTATAACACAAACAAACAAACAAACGATGAGGAGAAAAAAATACAACCGCCCCCGCCCCAGCCCCCGTTCCAGGAAATTATGAAAAATATTGGATCAAACGTGTAACGCGTTAAATATTAATACAATAATATATAAATTAAAATGATCGATCTCTCGCACACATAATTCAAATGCGACTTGCGCGAAGTAAAAGGCGCCGAATGACGCGGATTGACGCAAATGCGTCCCCAACCGAGCGGAACGAAACACCGTTTCAAATATTTCGCGGTTCTCGACGATTTATTAGCGCCAAATTGAAAAATTCATCCTCCCCTAGCCTTACTATCCCTTTGCCCAATTTGTTTACGATAACTTGTTGCGATCCAAGTTTCTCTTCCCCCTTCCTTATCCCCTTTCTTACCCTCCTGCATCAACAATCTTCTTTCACATTTTGATTTTATTGACTTAATTTTTATGAATTTCTTTAAAAAAAGTAGAATATATATAAAATACAAACACTGTTTGAGAGATAATATAATAAAAAAAGAAGAATAAATTGCAACAAAATAAACACGAGTCAGGAACGATTAATAATATTACTATTACTACTACTACTACTACTATTACAATTATTGGTCGCCAGTACGTCTGAAACGATCGTCGGGGTTTCGTTGTCTCGTCTCGTCTCGTCTCGACGTCGTATTTTGGCAGTCGCGAATTACACGCACACACGTAGACTCACACACACACACACACGTCTAACGCATGAGCGCATGCATGCACACAAACATAGTCGGAGACGAACCGCATTCACAGCTATTATATATGCAATTCGTACCGTAACAAAGACAATTGTCCGTGACACCGGGGCTCGATGTACAAATTCCTTGGCCATGCCATGGGTTCCCTTTGATAATAATAATTCTACGATTCACCAATTACAATTAAATCGACACACATGGCCATATATCCAGATGAATTATTATTATTATCATCATTAAATCTTATTGTTGGATATATTAGTCTCGTATAATTGTATTGGGGGGAGGGGGGGAGGGGGGGGAGGGGATATTATACGAAAGAGAAAATCGTTTGATAGGAATGAAATAAATAAACAAAGAAAATCAATGATAGAATGTGAAAAGAAGAAAAAAAAATTCTATTGATTAAAAGAAGGGTACACACATGGAAACGATGACGATAACGTTTAAAAGAAGAAGAAGAAGAAAAAACCCCCCCCAGAAGTAATCATTTTTCTCTTCGAGTGTGTCGTTATCAAAAGAAAAAAACGAAAGATAGAAAAAGAAAAAGAAAAAGAAAGAAAAGAAAGATCAAAGTAAAAGAAAAAGAGAGAGAGAGAGAGAGAGAAATATCTCTCGAGTGCAAGTTGCGAATTCCGAGGTTATCGTTTAGAGTCTTCGATCTCAATGACGTCTTATCGTACGAGTTGTGAAAATTGTCTCTCTCTCTCTTTCAACATATTACTACTACTACTATTACAACGATGAATGTATCAAAATATTTGCATATGTCTGTCTTTCTCTCTCTCTCTCTCAGCTCCCAGAGAGAAAGAGAGAGAAAAAAAAAGAAAAAAAGAAATGAAGAAAGTAGAGAAAACGCACGAGTTGGGAGACACTTGGGGGGAATTGTAGAAGGATGGTAGGGGGATATGGGTGGGGGGGGGATACGGGGAGAGGCTAGCTAGAAGAGCGTGGCGCCCTAGATTCGTACGTTCCTATCACGACGATCGACCGCCCTCGTTTTCTTCTCCCTACGTTATATTAGAGGAGTACGTACGGTACCGGTACGATACGATACGTTGACGTATTACGAGCGTAGAAAAACCTCTGCGAATTTCCTAAACTTAAACGAAAGAAACGTTTTCTTCTTTTCCACTTCATCATCCTTTTCCTCTTCCACCATAACCATCATCACCATCACCATTTCTTCGTTCTTTCCCATCCGTTCGTTCGTTCGTCCCTTTTTAAACGATTTTTTTTTTCTTCATCGCTAGTCGAATACGAGCGAAACTCGATTCGAAAATAATAATAATAAAAAAGGAAAAAAAGGGAAATGTGAAAGAAAGAACAAAAATAAAGGGCTTGCTTTTGCCGAGAGTGACTCGAGTTTAAAGCTTTAAAGGGGGTTCCTTCTCTCTCTCTCTCTCTCTCTCTCTCTCTCTCTCTCTCTCTCTCTTTCTCTCTCTCTTTCTCTCTATCTGCGTTTCCACGGAGGCCGTCGAAAGGGAAAGCTCAAGCGGGTGTAGTAGTTGGAGCGTTAACAGGAGAGTAGTGTTCTATAGCAGCAATAGCAGCAGCAACAGCACCAGCAGTAGCAGCAGCAGCAGCAGTAACGGGAAGAAGAGAAGGATGGAAGGTGTTTGAGGGGTGGTGAGACGCCTGCTGCTGCTGCTGCTTTTACTGCTGCTACTGCTCTGCCTCGTACTGGTATTGATCGGACACTACTCGGCTCCAGAGGAGACTAGAGACGCGTATAATGTCCACGGGGTACGTTCTGAGAGCACGGGAGCGAGAGAGAGAGAGAGAGAGAGAGAGAGAGAGAGAGAGAGAGAGGGTGAAGCTGGTCGATCGATCGAGAAGAGAAACGATATGAGAGAGAGAGAGAGAGAGAAAGAGAGAGAGATCCGACTTCTCCGAGGGTGCCGATGTGCTGCTGCTGATTCCTCCATGAACGTTTCTTTAAACACGTGGTATGTGCTCTACCTAACACATATACACATACATACGCAAAAAGAAAAAAAAATTCCCTTTGAAATCTTCCCAATTAATCGAGTCATTTCCCTTTTTTTCCTTTTATTTCCTTACGATTCATTCGATTTATTGAATCTTAATCGAATAGATAAATGTATTTTATATTATGAGAGGAGAGAGTGGGTGTAATGATAATATAAAATATAATAAATACAACGTTAAATACAATGTATTTTTATATTTTTCAAATGTAATTTATATTATATTGACGTAGAAAAAATGAGAGAGAATGAAAATTGTTGATAAGAATTTTATAAATGTGTTCTCACTTAGGTGTTATCGCGTTAAAGATTTGTTAGTTTCTCACTCTCTCTTTTTCTGTCTCGGCGATCTTGAGAGAAAAAAAATATAATGAATTTTTTTTTGTTTGCGTTAAATGGTAGATCAAGAGATCGATCGATCGGGATCGATAGTTGTCCTAGGTCTGTTGATTTAATCGTTAATGTGTACATACGTATTATAGGACTATATATAACGTAAGCTAGCTACGGAAAGAGAGAGAGAGAGAGAGAGAGAGAGAGAGTGGTTAGATCCGGCGTAGCACGTGTAATCGGGCTGCCAATTATCGTTATCGCCCAAGGCCACGAGACGGATAGGTTCCATCGGACGGTTGACGACGACGACGACGACGGTAACTATGACGATGTTTTGTCTTTCTTTAACATTTTTACAACGCGAGCAATAATTCTCTCTTTCTCGGCAATATATGTATAATTTAAATATTATTATTCTCTCATTTAACACACAATCTATTTCTCTTTATTTTCCTCGTATTATAAAAAATCTAATGTATATATATATTATTATAGTTATGTATGCGTGTATATGTATTTTAATTGGAACATTGTTCTAATAGGATCGATCGATTTTTAAGATGAATCATAAAGTTGTTTCCTCAGATTATTTTTTTACATTAAATATTTCACTAGCATATATAATATTTATTAATTTTATTGATTTGTGTAACAAAAATTGTTATGCACTACGTATATTTGAGAAACAATGAAACCAACGCACGAATACTTATCGATTCGTCCTAATAGACCAAAATTCGAAACGAAAAATATTAATGGATTTATAAGGGCAACAACGACGACGACGACGACGACGACTAAGAGGAAAACGACGATGACGTCATTGACAAAGAAAAATAAAAATAGTCTCGGATAGCGATAACGAGACTGCCATCAGAGAAACACTGCCCCCGCGCTCTCGTGATCTGAAAATAATGGTTGACTAGTGGTAGTGGTGGTGGTGGTGGTGTTGGTGTTGGCGAGGACGAATCGATGATAACGAAGACGACGACGACGACGACGACGATATATTGTTTTCAACTAACTC